AAAAACAACCACTGCCATTGGGTTGATTCTGACTCATAGCAACTTTATGGGACAGAGTAGAACTGCCCCATAGGGTTTCCAAGGCTGTAATCTTTACAGAGGCAGACTGCCTCATCTTTCTCCTGCAAAGTCACTGGTAAGTTTAAACTGCCAACCTTTTGTTTAGCAGCTGAATGCTTTAACCATTGTGCCACCAGAGCTCCTCTATAATACATGCTTTAAAAAAAAGAAAAAAGTCACAGCCCAAACCTTATATAATACCAAATTTAATAAATGTAGGTCTGACTTTGATCACAATTGATGCCTTCTTGGAAATTTAAAAATCACGCTAGAGAAAGAGATACCCAGTATCTTCCTTGCTCAAGAAAAAAAAAAATTCTAAGAAGAAAAAAAAAACCCTGTAATAAAGGGGAATATCTTTTAAGAGTGGCCTGCATCTTAGTGGTCATATAAAAGTAACAAATATGGAAAAGCCTATAGGCATAGTTCACTTCTTATACATCAAAGAATTCATAGTAAAGAAAGATTAAAATTGAAATAGATGAGACTTGGGATCTGACTCTGGGGAAAGCCGGATGCCATGCCAGATACTCAGGCATCACAGACATAATAATGTTAACGCTTTTCCAGTCCAATTGTAAGTCAGTGCCTACAAAACATGGTTTGTCCATCTCCAGTGTATTTTCTGATGTGTGTATGTGAAGAAGCTAGTGCCCGCTTACACTCTTTCTCCCTAATATCAGACAGTTCACAGTGCATCTCAGACCTGAAGCTTTCTTACCAGGTATTACTTGAGTCTCCACTTAATTTCTGAACCAGCAATACAGTCAGGCTTGCCATGCCCTTTCTCAAAAGTAATATGTAACAGCAAAAGCTATAGGCCTCAACTTTAATCTTCATTCACCTGGGATGTTTTCCCATTTGAGATATTCCTCAGTTCATAATCTGGGGCTTTTCAAAATCCTAGGTATATGGCTACTGCTTGCTAGTGCAAGCAAGTATGTATAGTGACCAACTCATGCATTGCTAATAAAAGCAAAAAAATATATATATATACACTGATAGAAACCCTTCGGGTTTCTGAGGTGGTATCTCTATGGAAGTAGATTGTCCAGTTGTCCTTCTGAGGAATGGCTGGTGGATTGGAGCTGCCAGCCTTCTGGTTGGCAGTCAAATACCTTAGGCACTACGCCACCAGAGCTCCCACATTGCTAATGGGAATGCAAAATGTTACAGCCTCTCTGGAAAACTATTAGACAGTTCGTTAAAAAATTAAACATACATTTACTATATGACCAAGCAGTATCACTTAAGAGTATTTATCCTAGAGATATGAAAACTTGTGTTCACACAAAAACCTAGGCATGATAGAGTGTCATTACTTACTGTCGCCAAAAAATGGAAACCACCCAAATGTAAACATATATTGCGGTGCATCCATACAATGGAATACTTCTCAACAATAAAAATAACCAGCTGTTGATAATGTGCAACAACATGAATGAACTTCCGATGCATTATGCTAAAGGAAGGAACCTAATCTCAAAAAATTACATAGTGTATGATTGGATTTTTATGACATTCTGGGAAGTACAAAAATAGAACAGATCAATGGTTGCCAGGGATTAGAGGTGGGGGAGGTCTGGTTACAAAGGAGATACACAATGGAATTCTTTGAACTGTGTGAATTGTTCTGTATCCTGTTTGTGTTGTGAATAAAAAAAACTGCATGTGTAAAATTTCATGAAACCAAAAAAAATTTTTTAATTTTACTGTTTGTAAATTTTTTAAAAAATAAATAATAAAGCCCTAGATAAGTTCTCCAGCTCCATCATTAGCAGAACCTCTTGGTTTATTCCACCACCCCCACCTCCCCATCAACAGAAAGGAACATTAGATTGAACTCTGATTTATATATCCTGTAGCCTGTACACACACACATACACACACACTGGCTGTACCCGTGTTCCCCAAATAAACTCAACCACAACACAAAGGATACACTGTATATGGCCTATGTTTATAACTCTCATGTGGCTGATTGGCTCCCCAACAGAAGCTCCAGGCTTCATGTCTGGGAGGTGGAGTTGGAGAGCACACCTGTGAGGTGGGAAGATGTAATACAGGCAGCCTCTAGGTTACAAATGAGATGGATTCCTGTGTGTTTTCATTTTCCTCAAAATTTTATTCTTGCATATTATGCGTTTATTTGATTTTTAATTTTTTAAAATTGTGATTGGGGTGAAACTTTATAGAGCAATTTGGTTTTCCATTCAACAATATATAGATGTTTTATGACATTCATTGCAATCGCCACAATATAATAGCACTATTACCATTTTCTGTGTTTATCATTTCCCTTTCATCTTCTTTCCTATCCCTTCCTTCCTTCTGAGCTTTTTCCCTAGGCAGATGCTGTCCTCTTGATCTCATGGTTGATTGTTTTAATTACTGCATACCTCCCTGTTGTTACTGTTCACCTTATAGGCCTATCATTTGTCTAGAGGTTGAGCCACAGAGGTGAGTTCAGTTGGCCATAGTCTTGGGGTTTACACCAGTCTCTGTCAGACCAATAAGCCTGGTCTTTTTCATGATTCTGAGGGGTTTTTTGCACCACATTTTCCCTTACTCTTGTCCAAGGCCTCCTGTTGTGATTCCTTTCAGAGTGGTCAGCATTGGTGACCGGGCACTTTCTAGTCATGGAGGCTGTGGTTCATGTGGTCCAGTAGTCCTTTGCGTCTTTATTTTTACTCTTCTTTGCTCTAAACGGGAGGAACCAATAGTTGCACCTTAGATGGTTGCTTACAGGTTTTAAGACCCCAGCCACTACTCACCAAAATGGATGTAGAACATTCTTTGTGGACTATGTTATGCCATGTTATCCCAAGACTATGGTCCTGACTGCCCATGATCAACAGCTCATTCCATCATTGTGGTTGATTATGGCTAAGAAGTTTTCATAACTTTGCCTCCTGTATGCTCCAATATATTCATGGATATATTTCCAGCACACATAAATGCACATGTAGAAATATTCTCTGTCCAACATGTATTAGTTGGTGTAGTGCCATTTGCCTTCCTACCCTGGTTCAGCTTGTTTGTCTATCTATATATCTGCTTTTAGATTATTCTTACTACTTTTATTGCAGGGTTGTGTATGTAATAGTATTTACCTTTGTTGCCCCTAATTTTGACCTTAAGTGGAATTTGTAGGCAAATTGGAACAGGTGCATACAGTTTTTATTTAGTCTTACTTTAGTGCAAGAAAAAGGAGCTCTGGTACCACAGTAACTAAGGCATCTGATTGCTAACCAGAAGGTTGGTGGTTCAAACCCACCAGCCATTCCACGGAAACAAGACTGAGCAATCTACTTCCATAAAGATTTACCACCCCAGAAACCCAATGGGGGTTGCTATGAGTCAGAATCAACTCAGTGGCACTGAGTTTGGTTTTTGGTTTTAGTGCAAGAAAAGGCTCAAAGGCATTTCAGTGATATAAAAGGTGATTGTTAGGAAGAATTTGTTGGGAGGAGTTGGTTCAGTCATTTCAAAGTGAGGGCAAATTTACGTAAATTTATAGGGCAAGTCGAAGTTCTCCATAAATTGGACATTTGTAATTTGGGGACTGCCTATATAGGCTTTATGTTTGGTAGGGCTTTCACCAATAGTCAGTACACACACATTAGTGAAAATGTGGTTATTGAAAATGATGATAAGTGGGTCAATCTTGGTTCTAC